AAAATTGCTGCTTGTAGCCACTCAAGGCTTAGACTCAAAGACAGGCTGGTGCAGTGGCTTATGCCTGTAATCCCAGCACTTTGGGAGGCCAAGGCAGGCGGACCACTTGAGCTCAGGATTTCGAGACCAGCCTGCGTAACCTGGCGAAACCCCATCTTTACAAAAAATATAAACATAAGCTGGGTGTGGTGGCACATGCCTGTAGTCCCAGCTACCCAAGAGGCTGAGGTGGAGAATAACTGGAGCCGGGAGAGGTTGAGGCTGCAGTGAGCTGGGATCATGCCACTGCACTCCAGCCTGGGCAACAGAGTGAGACCCTGCCTCAAAAAAACAAAAGCCGGGCGCGGTGGCTCACACCTGTAATCCCAGCACTTTGAGAGGCTGAGGCGGGTGGATCACGAGGTCAGGAGATCGAGACCATCCTAGCTAACATGGTGAAACCCTGTCTCTACTAAAAGTACAAAAAATTAGCCGGGCGTAGTGGTGGGCGCCTGTAGTCCCAGCTACTCGGGAGGCTGAGGCGGGAGAATGGCGTGAACCCGGGAGGCGGAGCTTGCAGTGAGCTGAGATGAGCCACTGCACTCCAGCCTGGGCGACAGAGCGAGACTCCGCCTCAAAAAAAAAAAAAAAAAGACTTAGACCCAAAGACAGCTGGAAGAAGAGGAGCACATTTTCAAGTTTTAATCTCCATGACTTAGCAAAGACAGCGGAGCCTCAAAACCCCATCTCTGGAGGCTCAAGTTGGCATCTTCAGTCACAGATTAAAGTCATGGATTTAAAACCCGGGCCTGGCCAGTCCTGGTGGCTCACGCCTGTAATCCCAGCACTTTGGGAGGCCAAGGCTGGTGGATCACCTGAGGTCAGGAATTCGAGACCAGCCTGGCCAACATGGCGAAACCCTGTCTCTACTAAAAATACAAAAAATTAGCCGGGCGTAGTGGTGGGCGCCTGTAGTCCCAGCTACTCGGGAGGCTGAGGCAGGAGAATGGTGTAAACCCGGGAGGCGGAGCTTGCGGTGAGCTGAGATCCGGCCACTGCACTCCAGCTGGGCCACAGAGCGAGACTCCGTCTCAAAAAAAAAAAAAAGAAAAAAGAAAACCCAGGGCGTTCTCCAGGCACAGGCTCCCGGAGAGCTCTTGTTGCTGTTTATAGTCCGCCTCAATGGTAACTAGCGACCACTGCACCATCATGCTCGGTTCTGGAGCTCAGGCTGGAGACTCCCCCTTTCAGGAACCCGTCCCTGCCTTGCCTCTGCTTATCCTTCCCTTGCCTCTGCCTGTCCTTCCCTTGCCTCTGCCTGTCCTTCCTCCTTCGTAGGCCCCTTCACTTAGGCACCACCGCCACCACCTCCCCACCACCATGTCAGTGACAGAGCAGTCTGCCCTGCTCAAAGATACTGTCTGTGACCAGTACGTTTTTCTCCCATGTACGTGAGCTTGTCCTCTCCAGGCCGCAGTGAGCCCTTTCCCTTTCCACAGCTCTCTCCAGGAGTGTCTGGCACAGAGAGCGCCGTGGGGCTGCTGGACCCTGGCACTGAGAGCAGACGCGTCACTCCCAGGAAACAGGTGGGAAGCATGGCAGCGTGGGTGGTGCTTCCGGTGCTGATGGCCTCACCCTCTCTCCCTGCAGGTCATCTTTCTGTCCAAGGGCAAGGATGCCATGCAGTCCTTCATGATGCCATTTTATCTCATGAAAGACTGTGAGATCAAGCAGCCCGTATTTGGTGCAAACTACATCAAGGGAACAGTGAAGGCGGAAGCGGGAGGTAGGTGATGGGAACTCAGGGACATGGATGGGGCTTCCAGGGAGGTGCCCTGGGAGCCTCTGACTGCCGCCCTGGGGGTGTCCCCTTCAGACCCTTATCGCCCTAGCCATGACCTCTTCCCAGCTCTGGGCTGCCAGCTGGTGGGGTTTGATTGCCAAGAGCTGGGGAAAATGCTGGCATTAAAGACGGCAGCTCAGGTCAGCTTTTCAGAGCGTGAAGTCTGCAGAAGCTTGCAGACTGAGTCAAGATGCTTAGTGCGCCTTGGCGAGTGCATACAAATTTTAGACTCAGGAAGGAGCTGCATCAGTTCTTGAGAGGGGCCTTTTCATGAGAGCCAGGAAGAGGCAACTGCCTCTGGGAAGCCAGAGTCACCCTGCTTTGGGGCTGGCTTTTTGGCAGGCCCCAGAGACCTCTGCACTGAACTTGCCTTCCCCTTGACACGCAGCCAGGCCCGCCCTTACTATTGAGGCGCTCTTGGTCCCTCTTTGGGCAGAAGCCAAGCTAGAAGGGCTGGAGTCTGTCCTTGGACCCCCTTAGGATGAGAGGTCTGCTCTGAATTTCAGGGTCGGGTGTTGCCGAGTGGGCTTGTGCCTGTGCAGCTGCCGAGTGCTTGACTAGGGGTGGAAAGAAACCTTGATGTTAGCTCTAAAACCACACCAAGGTGGCCTTGGCACCTGTGTACATATTGGGCTGGTGGTGGGAGGACAGGCTTGTTCCAGGAAGGAGAGGCCCTTGTTCCAAAGGGGGAAGCGAGTATAGCAGGGCCTGGCCGGGCTGCAGTGCCGGTTCCTATGCAGGCAGCAGGCTGGAAACCATGGCACCGGGAAGTCCCCATCACAGTGCAGGCCCAGCTTCCCGCAAGCCTCCCGGGCGTCAGATGAAGCCCTGGAGAGGAAAACAGCCATCTCTTGGGGCATCAGTTTTCTTTTTCTGTGGTGTTTATTCGCTGTCCTTCCCCTCTCAGGTGGCTGGGAAGGCTCTGCTTCCTACAAGTTGACTTTCACGGCAGGGGGCGCCATTGAGTTTGGACAGCGGATGCTCCAGGTGGCATCTCAAGGTATCCAGGCTCTGAAGATTAGGGGCTGAGAACACACTGAACATGTAGGGGTTTGGTTTGAGTTTGCTTCCTTTTTGTTTTGCTTTTTTAAAATTCAAGAGGTAAGTGTCTGGGCACTAGGCTGAGCAGGCCTAGGAGTTGGGAAGGAAAGCTGTCATTGGCGTGAGCTCTGTCCTGTACCTCAGAGGCTGCGTTTCCCTGCCTGGAGCAGGTGGATCACGTTTTGACAAAGCTGTTTGGACTCAAGGACACTTTACTACGGCCTCATAAAACAAACACCAAACCAACCATTAAACTGCGGTTTTGCAGCCATTGAAAATGACCGAGGGATGGGCCCAGCAGACATCCTCCGCCAGCTCACTCCTACCCCAGCCCTGAGCCTCCCTCCCCGCCTCCGTCCACCCTCCACCCTTGTCCTTGACCTCCCTTGCCTTCCCCTGGCTCTGACCTCTCCTGTCCTCTCTCATCACCCCATCCCTGACCAAGGCAGCCCCGAGTGTGGGTGGAGAGTGGAGTGGGGTGGACAGAGCATGTCTGCTGGGCACACTCCTGGGCCCCAGTAGCTCCCCTCTGCAGGCAGCGGGACCGCCCTCTCCTCGCCCCAAGGCAGGCCACACTCATTTCTCTTTCCCCTTGTACTTGTAGCCTCCAGAGGTGAAGTCCCCAATGGAGCCTATGGCTACTCTTACATGCCCAGCGGGGCCTATGTCTATCCCCCGCCAGTCGCCAATGGAATGTACCCCTGCCCTCCTGGCTACCCCTATCCACCGCCCCCGCCTGGTGAGTGTGTCCTTTGCTGCCCACCCTCCCCTCATGAGCCCACCTATCCAGGCTCCCCCCAGGCCAGGGAGACTTCATTCCTTGAGCTGCTTCAGGACTAACAAAAGATCTGGAGAGGCCCCCCTCAGAGGGGGCCGCAGCCGGGTGCTCACCGGGTCCCTGTTGCTCTCTTGCCGAGCAGAGTTCTATCCAGGACCCCCCATGATGGACGGGGCCATGGGATACGTGCAGCCCCCACCACCGCCCTATCCTGGGCCCATGGAACCTCCGGTCAGCGGCCCCGATGTCCCCTCCACTCCTGCAGGTGAGGGCCTTTGGGTGCTGGCAGCCCTTCGCGACCAGCCCTCTCCTCCCCAAGGTTGCACAGAGAGCCTCAGAATGGCCAGAGACTCCTGAGAGCTGCAGATGATGGATGACCCCTGGACTACCCCAGGGGCCCAGTAGGGCCGTGGCCTGTGGTGCGGAGCTAGATTCTGGCCCCACCCCCATCCCTTAGCTACCCACATGGCCTGGGCAGGGAAGGTCACCCTGTGTGCCTCGGTCCTCTCATCCTCTCATCTACGCTCAGTTGGTCGGTCACGGTGGCATCTGGGGGGTTGGCTCAAGGATTAGATGAGGTGAGACATGCGATGGGCCTGGAAAGGACCATGCCAGCACGTGGCCCATGCTCAGGAAGCCTCACCTGCTGCTGTATTGGTGGAACTGGACCCCCAGCACCAGCTGCCCCGAGCCATGGGGGCCCAGGGTCTCTGGGCTAAGCTTAGGGGGATGAGAACTTGTCACTGACACTGGGTGTGTTTGCTCTCACAGCCGAAGCCAAGGCCGCAGAAGCAGCCGCCAGCGCCTACTACAACCCAGGCAACCCTCACAACGTCTACATGCCCACGGTGAGAGAGCGTGGCAGTGCCAGTGCAGCCCCACAGCCACAGATGCTGGGAGCCACAGGGGGAAGACTGCGCCATGTTTTAAACCTTCTAACGCGAATTTTCCCTTTCTCCCTTCTTTAGAGCCAGCCGCCACCACCTCCCTACTACCCACCGGAAGATAAGAAGACCCAGTAGGCCCTCCTGCCTCCCTGCCTCCCACCCTTATCTCTGTACCCTACCCCTCCCATTGGGACTGCACTGGGGCTGGGGGAGGGGGCGCCTTGTTATCCCTCCAGGTCTGATCATAAACAATTACCAGGAACTAGCATTGTGGGACATTAGGGCCCCCGGCCTCAGGAGAGGTGCCGCCCAGCTTCCCATGCCAGCCCAGAGCCCACAACGCTGCCCAGTGTGCCTCACTCACTGTCTGGGGCTCTCCTGGGAGCATGGGGCATCCCCTGTTCCTGTTTCACTCTCAGCTTCTCCCCTCGAAGGGACTCTCTGGCCACCTCCTCCACCGCAGTCCAGCTCCCTCAGTCTGGCAGCCACTGCTACACTCAGCCTCATGAGCCACTTCAGACCAGCCAGGTGTCTTCCCCGGCCCTGCCAGGCCCTGCTCACATTCCCTCCACTGGTCTATGCTGGTCTCAGAAGGCCACCGTGTCTGCATTCCACTCAGCCAAGGTCCAGCTGCAGCCCTGCCACTGTCCTTCCCTTCCTTGTCCTGAGTCATGCTGTTGCCACCCCATGTGACTTTTGAAGCTGTAAAATGAGCTTCCAGGGCTTGGGTGGCGTCGGGGCAGGGCCGCCGAGGCGGGGAGGAAGTGCTTCTGCCTTTCGCTGGTGTTTCTGGAATTTGCTTTCCCTCACCTCTCACTTCCCTCTAGAAGGAGCTTCCTGACTGGAACCAGAGAATGCATGTCTGTCCACTTTTGGGCTGCTGGGTGGGGCTGGAAACAAGGGCCGCTGACCCTTCGTGCCGGCCGGGACCTGCCACTAGCCCCCCAGCCTGCTTCTTCCCCTTAAGCTTCGTGCCCCTGGATGCGCTAACATTCGCTCTTGTTTGTTCCTGGACTGGCCATGAAGTGAGGAGATGGTTATCTAAAGAGAATTCCCTATTTATTTGACAAAAAATCCAGTTAATATATTAATGTGAAATAAACCCTGTTTGCACCTTGATTTGTTTGCTGAAAATGTGAAATAGTAAAAATAAATAACTGGACCCTTTCTGGCTCTGCGTGTGGTGACCCAGGCGGTCTCTTCCGGAAGGAGAGCCGTCTGGCTGCCGAGGGCCCTGGAGGCTCCCGGGACGGTTCCCTCCCACGGGAGGATCCCCGTTCTCACGGCCCAGCTGTCTGGTCCCCAGGACAGCTCTGGCCTCTGGAGCCGGTTCCTGTGGTCGTTGCTTAGCAGCTGTGTCCCTCCCCCACCTAGTGCCCCAAACCTGGCTGGGACAGAGGTGGATTCGGACCATCGTCAGCCTGGATGGGAGGGGTTGGGGTCACCACCTTGTCCCCTGCTGGCTCCTCGAGGAATGGCAGCCCTGGCCCAAGTCCTGGTTGCTGGAGGGAGGAGGCTGAGTCAGCCCTGGAGCATGTCAGGACCTGTGACAGGGACACTGGGGTAGCCGAGCTGGCTCACCACCACCCACGTCACGTGCCCTGCTGTGAACTTGAAGGGACAGGAGGGTGGGAAATGGCCAAAGGCCGTGGCCAGGCCCACGTGCCCCCGAGTCCCCCAGCCCAGCACTGGGCACAGAGTTCTGGGAATGCCCCGTGCTGAGGTGCATTTTCCCGTCCCCCGGGAGCCAAGTCTGTCCTCGGGAGAGATCAGGCAGTGGCCACTCTGCCTTCTCCTCCTGGCCATCCTGGCCCGGAGCTCTCTGGGACTTGGCTAAGCCCCCTTCAAGGCGTTTGAAGAGAGCAACCTCCTGACCGCCAAGGTGGGGACAAAGGCACAGGGCCGTCCCTGCCGAGCACAGCTTGGCCCCGTCATCTCCATGGAATGTCACCTGTGGGGCCAGGCAGGCTGAGCAACTGGCTGTCCTCCAGGGAGGCGCCTCTTGGAGCCCTCACCTTGAGCCCCACCCCACGTCTGGATGCACTTGAGGAAGTGGGGCGAGAACCCCCTGGGGCCCAGGTCAGCTTCCCTCAGGGTCCTGCCCAGCCTGGGCGCAGCACATGGATGGGGCAGGAAGCTGCCTACCTGTTCTGGCCCCCCGGCCCCCTGCTGAGAGCGTTGGCCCCTTCCTAGGGCCTCTGTGGGAGGGTGGGGCGGGGCCAGGCCTGCCCACAGGGTCCACCTTCTGCTCCAGCCAGAGGAGGGTCCTGTAGGGATCCCTGCTGGGGAAGGTGCAGGGGGCCTGGGAGACTGCCTCTCCGAAGCGGTGAAACCCTCACCCTTCCGTAGCCACTACCACCCTCCCTACACCCTCCCCTGACAGAGGGTGGCAGCCCCAGGCTCTTTGCATAATCCTGTGGCTTCGCTGTCTTCAGCCAGCACCAACGGACAGGGAAGGGCAGAGAAGGCCACCATGGCGACACTCCTGTCTCATCTGCAGCAGCGCCCTCCCCTCTTGCGCCAGGCCATCAAGATAAGGCGCCGCAGAGTCAGAGATCTACAGGATCCCCTGCCCCAAACGGCCCCAGAGGTAGGAGTGACCTCACTGGGGAGAGAGCTGGCCTTGGGGAGCACTGCGGTCTCGGGTGTGGGTGCCCTGCTGTCTGGCCCCACCTCTCGAAGGCTGGGACTGGGGACCAGGGACCCTCCTCTGTCTACCCCACCCTGGGGAGAGCCTCCTGGGCCAGCAGAGCAGGGGCTGCCAGGTGTACTCTGGGCCACTGTGAGACTCAGGCCCTGCGGTCTGAGCCTCTCTGAACCCCTACCTCTGGTGGGCCTGACTTCCCATCCCCTGCTCCTCCAGCTCCAGAGGAGCCAACTCCGTTAGGTGGGGGTGTCCCTGCTGTGGGGTGAGCTGTTCGGGGAGCAGCAGACCCCTAGGCCGGCGTGGCACCCCCCTCACCTCCGCTGCTGAGCCTCACTTCCGCTGCTGGGTGAGGAGCAGCCGCCGCCGATAAGCAGAGCTGTTTCCTCTGGGGAAGGGAGGGAGGTGGGGTACGGGTGTGGAGGGCTCGCGTTGCTGGGCGCCCATGGACCTCAGCCACGGCGGGCCAGGGGACGGACCTCCAGGAGGCCTGCTGGGGGAACAGGTGCGGGGCATCAGTGGGGCTGGAGGCCAGGGTGCTGGGGCCCCCATACCCTTGGCCTGGTTCAGGCCTTGGAGGAGCTGTTCCTGTCCATCTGAGCCTGCTCTGGGCCTGCCAGGACACTCTGCCTTTCCACCTTGTTCTGCAGATCCAGCCTCCGTCCCACCACTTCTCCCCCGAGCAGGTAAGAGTCAGAGTGTTGGGGTGCAGAGAGGTGGGGAGGGTGGCTGTGCATCCTCCTGTTGGCCGACGCTGATGGCAGCAAGCAACTTGTGGTGGGGAGGGGACTCCTGGGTCTCAACTCCCTCCGCTGCACAAGCCACCCCTTGTCCTGCCCTTAGCGAGAGGTGTTGGTGCCAGGGGTGGCTGGTGGGGTCCCCAAGGTGACCCCGTGTGTCTCAGCGGGCCCTGCTCTACGAGGACGCACTCTACACTGTCCTGCACCGCCTGGGTCAGCCTGAGCCCAACCATGTGACGGAGGCCTCTGAGCTGCTGCGGTACCTGCAGGAGGTGAGCCCAGCCCCCATCCCACCCCCCTTCCTGCAGCTGCCCTGTCTCGTGCCCCCAGCCACCCAACCGCCTGCCTCCCCACCAGGCCTTCCACGTGGAGCCCGAGGAGCACCAGCAGGCGCTGCAGAGGGTCAGGGAGCTCGAGGTAACTTGGGGCCGGGGCCACCCTGTGCAAGGAGGGGCCTGGGAAGCCCAGCTCCCTCAGGGACTCAGGCCATCCCTCCTGTCCCTCCAGAAGCCAATATTTTGTCTGAAGGCAACCGTGAAACAGGCCAAGGGCATTCTGGGCAAAGATGTCAGTGGTGAGCATGGGGCGGGGTCCCCGACGGGCTTCTTCCTGGCTCCTTCCTCTCCCATCACAGCCTGGCCCAGGACTCTTGGTGGGAGCACCCACCTCCCAGAAGCTCTGCAGTGCTGGCCCCCATGCTGCTGGTCCTCTTCTCTCTCCCCACGAGGAGGCTTAGCCCCGGGCGAGGGTGATGAGGGCCTTTCCCAGGGACCCAGCCGACTCCCTGGCTGCCTCGTCTTCCCCACTCCTCCCCAGGGTTCAGCGACCCCTACTGCCTGCTGGGCATTGAGCAGGGGGTCAGTGTGCCGGGTGGCAGCCCCGGGTCCCGGCCTCGGCAGAAGGCTGTGGTGAGGCACACCATCCCCGAGGAGCAGACCCACCGCACGCAGGTCATCACCCAGACACTCAACCCCGTCTGGGACGAGACCTTCATCCTGTACGTGGCCACACTCCAGCCCCCACTCTGTCCAGGTCTCCTCTGGGTAGCAGGGTCTCCCCCAGATAATGAGATGAGTAGGTTGTCCTGGCTCGGGGAGGGGGTTTGGCTCTGGACAAAGACTGGAGAAAAAGTCCATCTCTAGGCACGTTAAATGGACAGTAGATCAGATGGGACAGAACGACATCAATGCCACATGTGCTGATGGGGCAAGGAGGGTCGGGCCTTTGTGAGTGAGTCTGGGGGTGCCTGAAGCCATACCTGAAAGGAGGCAGGGACAGGTGCGGTGGCTCACGCCTGTAATCCCAGCACTTTGGGAGGCTGAGGTGGGCAGAGCGCTTGAGGCCAGGAGTTTGAGACCAGCCTGGCCAACATGGCAAAATTTTGTATTTTTTTCTACTAAAAATACAAAAAAGGCCGGGCGCGGTGGCTCACACCTATAATCCCAGCACTTTGGGAGCCAAGGCAGGCAGATCACGAGGTCAGGAGATTGAGACCATCCTGGCTAACACGGTGAAACCCCGTCTCTCCTAAAATACAAAAAATTAGCCGGGCATGGTAGCAGGCACCTGTAGTCCCTGCTACTCGAGAGGCTGAGGCAGGGGAATTGCTTGAACCTGGAAGGCAGAAGTTGCAGTGAGCTGAGATCCAACCTGGTGACAGAGCAAGACTCTGTCTCAAAAAAAAAAAAAATTAGTGGGGTCCGGGCGCAGTGGCTCATGCCTGTAATCCCAGCACTTTTGGGAGGCTGAGGCAGGTGGATCACCTGAGGTCAGAAGTTCGAGACCAGCATGGCCAACACGGTGAAACCCCCTGCTCTCCTAAAAGTACAAAAATTAGCCAGGCGTAGTGGTACATGCCTGTAATCCCAGCTATGTAGGAGGCTGAGGCAGGAGAATCGCTTGAACCAGGGAGGTGGAGGTTGCGGTGAGCCGAGATCGTGCCACTGCACTCCAGCCTCGGTGACAGAGTGAGACTCTGTCTCAAAAAAAAAAAAAAAAAAAGGGCATGCTTATAATCCCAGTACTTTGGGAGGCCTAGGCGGGCGGATCACGAGGTCAGAAGCTCAAGACCAGCCTGGCCAACACAGTGAAACCCTGTCTTTACTAAAATTACAAAAATTAGCTGGGCGTGGTGGTGGGCACCTGTAATCCCAGCTACTTGGGAGGCTCAGGCAGGAAAATCATTTGAACCTGGGAGGCGGAGGTTGCAGTGAGCTGAGATCCTGCCACTGCACTCCTCCAGCCTAGGGACAGAACTAGACTCCATCTCAAAAAAAAAAAAAAAAAAAAGGCAGTGATGCAGGTATGAGGAGAGGAGTTTGGCAGGGATAGGCTACAACTCCATAGCTCTGGGCTCTGATCACTTTCGGCTTCGGCTGGGGGCATCCACCCTCCAGGGCCCTCAAGCACACCCTCTTCTCCATATAGAGAGTTTGAGGACATCACCAATGCGAGCTTTCATCTGGACATGTGGTGAGTGACCGGGCCTGCACCTAGGGATGGGAAGGGAAGGGATCTGGGGTGAGAGAGGCAGAACCTCCTCCTGGAAGAGGTCCTAGGCGCTCTCTCTGCTTCCTTCTCAAACCTCTGTCCTGCCAGGGACCTGGACACTGTGGAGTCTGTCCGACAGAAGCTTGGGGAGCTCACAGATCTGCATGGGCTTCGCAGGTGCATGTTGCAGGGCTCACAGGGAAGGAGTGGGGGCTCCTTCTGCCCTCCATCCCCCGACATGCACACTGGATGCTGGGGTGCAGGCTCCTTTGGGGTCCAGGTGGCTGTGGCGGCAGGGGGGTAGATTCCAGCCTGATCCCTTCTGACGCTTGCCGCATCCCCTTCATGGGACCCTGCCTGACGAAGGATCTTTAAGGAGGCCCGGAAGGACAAAGGCCAGGATGACTTTCTAGGGAACGTGGTTCTGAGGCTGCAGGTGAGGAGGAGGAAAGGAGCCCAGGAGCAAGGCAGAGGGAGGGGGTTGGGAGGGGTTCTGGGGAGAGGCTCCATGTCCTCACCAAGCTGAGCCTGGAGTCCACCTCCTGTTGTCTCCACTGCCCCTGCCTCTGTGAGGTTCTGATGCTCACGGGCTGGGCATCCCCGCCTGCCAGGACCTGCACTGCCGAGAGGACCAGTGGTACCCCTTGGAACCCCGCACTGAGACCTACCCAGACCGTGGCCAGTGCCACCTCCAGTTCCAACTCATCCACAAGCGGGTAGGTCGGGTCCTGGGCCAGTGGCTGTGCCCAGCTCCTGCGGTGGTCTGCTGGGTTGGGGGTCTGGCTGCACCCGGTATGGGGCCCTGTCTGCTCACAGAGGCCTCATTGCAGAGAGCCACCTCGGCCAGCCGCTCGCAGCCCAGCTACACGGTGCACCTCCACCTTCTGCAGCAGCTCGTGTCCCACGAGGTCACCCAGCACCAGGTACTGCCCTCCCAGGGCTGGGCGCAGCCGGGGCTGCCCTTCAGGTCCTGATACTCCTCCACCTGCTCCACTCAGGCGGGCAGCACCTCCTGGGACGGGTCGTTGAGTCCCCAGGCTGCCACCGTCCTCTTTCTGCACGCCACACAGAAGGACCTGTCCGACTTCCACCAGTCCATGGCGTGAGTGCACAGCCCTGGGCAGAACTAGCCCCCCACGCTCCCTGCTCTCCTCCAAGCTGGTAGCCCAAAGTGTAATTCTCAGCGGAGTTCCCTTTGGCCCAAAATGTGTGTTTTAAGTTTTGAATCAGTTGCCAACTTTAAAAAGTCTAGAGATTTGGCTGATGTGGTAGCTCATTCCTGTAATCCCAGGACTTTGGGAGGCTGAGGCAGGAGGATCACCTGAGCCCAGGAGTTCAAGGCTGCAGTGAGCTATGATCACACCAACAGTCCTGCCTGGACCACAGAGTGAGATCTCATTTCAAAAACATACCAAAAAAAGCAATCTGGAGATTTCACATACCATCCAGATCTCCAGCTTCTCGTGAAACACAAGTGTTGGAACTTCAGGGCCATCATTTTGCTGCTTTTTTTTCTTTTGAAACAGAGTTTTACCCTTGTTGCCCAGGCTGGAGTGCAACGGCGTGATCTTGGCTCACTGCAACCTCCGCCTTCCAGGTTCAAGTGATTCTCCTGCCTCAGCCTCTCGAGTAGCTGGGATTACAGGCGTGCTCCACCACGCGCAGCTAACTTTGCATTTTTAGTAGAGACGGAGTTTCTCCATGTTGGTCAGGCTGGTCTCGAACTCCCGACCTCAGGTGATCCGCCTGCCTCGGCCTCCCAAAGTGCTGGGATTACAGGCGTGAGCCACTGCGCCCAGCCATTTTGCTGCTTTTTTGAGTGGCCAGAGCAGTGATGTGTCTGCCTCTGCCTGTCACAGCTGCCACTGGGCCCACTTCAGTTGCTTTCGTCTCCTGAGTCCTTCTGGGCATTTGAATTTGGACCCCGTCCCTAACCCCAGCCCCGTTTCCCAATGCCATAGCCTTCAACTCAGCAAAACTATGCGCTGATAAGGACAGATCTATGTTAAGGGCCGCTCACGTCAAGTCCTAGGAATGCTGAGGAGGTCACAGGGGGTCACAGTCATTCCAGTGCATGTGAGAAGGGCAGAGATGGGACACAGCC